GAGCCCTTGTCTGACGACGACATTGCGGCCATCGCGAAGCTCACCTGCCTCGACGCCCACACGCTCAAGGCGATCGCTGGCATGCCCAGCCGGCAAGGAGATGCCGCGGTGCCCCAGTCCCCATGTTAGAGGACTGTAGCTTAGTGTTCGGCCGACGACGACCAGCAGTTAGCTGGGTAGAGTTAGGGTTTATTTCCTGCATGATGCGCTGCCTCAGTAGCCAGGTTAGAGGATTGGCTGTTCGCCGGCGGGGTTTTGGGCCTATTGGTGACCGTCGGCGACCCTAGGTTGTACGGAAGGTGTTCCTGTGTTTTATGAATCCTGTAGTAGTTAGTCGTCAGCAATCTAATGTGCACCACCCTGATCACCTCCACCGTAGCAAGAGCATTTCTCGGTTACCCCATGGATGACACAAACATACCAATCATGAGCTGGAACGTGAGAGGACTAAACACGCCGGCGAGGCGCTCGGTCATCCGCGATGCTGCCCACACACACAAAGTAGCAATCCTCTGCATACATGAAACTAAAATTGACTGCTGGTCCACCAGCTTAGCTGGAGAAATAGGAGGCACCTGGCTCGACCAGTGTATAGTTCTCCCCGCCATTGGAACTAGGGGAGGGGCGGCCATCTTCTGGAACTCCAGCATGCTGACGATGCAATCTCACTCGATAGGACAGTTCTCTATCACAGCAAAAGTACAGATAGGAGGATTAGGCAAAGAATTCTGGCTGACCACGGTTTACGAGCCCTCTAATGAGGATAGGAAAGATGACTTCCTCGCGGAAATAGCTAGAGTCGCCCTGCCAATTGGCCAAGCGTGGCTCATCAACGGCGATTTCAACATTATATACGAGGCTAGAGACAAGAATAACACCAACATCAACCGCAGGCTCATGGGTAAATTTAGAGCAGCAATCGATGCTGGTGGCCTACGCGAGATCAAGTGCAAAAACCGACGCTTCACCTGGAGTAATGAGCGTCAAAACCCCACCTTAGTTAGCATCGATAAATTCTTCTGCACCATCACTTGGGAAGGGCTCTTCCCGTCTTTCCTCCTGCATGCTGCATCAACTTCATGCTCAGACCACTGTCCTTTGCTCCTCGCGCCTACAGCAGCCCCTCGCCGTCCAGCAACATTTAAATTTGAGTCCTTCTGGCCCCGGTTCCCGCGTTTCCAGGAAACGGTGCATTATGCCTGGAGCCGCCCAACGCCAACGCGCTGCGCTTTTGCGAGGCTACATGAGAAAATGAGAAGGGTAGCTAGGGATCTCAAAATCTGGAGCAAATCTCAGTTTGGAGGGGCCAAGCTTCATATGCACATTGCAACTGAAGTAGTCCTACGCCTCGACGTAGCTCAAGAAACTAGAGCCCACTCTGACGCAGAATTTCACCTTAGGAAAATGCTTAAACTCAAAATTTTAGGCCTCGCTGCAATTGATCGAACACGGAAGCGCCAGGCATCTAGGATTACTTGGCTGCGTGCTGGGGATGCGCCAACCGCCTTCTTCCAAGTGAAGATAAATGCCAGGAGACGGAAAGCATTCATTCACACGCTCCACGGTCCGTCCGGTGTAGTCACTAGGCAGGAGGACAAGGAAACCTTGATATACGACCACTTCTCCTCCATGCTGGGCACGGCAGCACACCGCGGCACAGCCATTGGCTGGCGCTCACTTGACATGCCCAGGCTGCAGGGGGAGGTCTGGACAACCCGTTCACGGAGGATGAGGTGTGGCGTGCTATCAAGGCGTCACCGGCAGATCGAGCGCCAGGCCCGGACGGTTTCTCTGGCACCTTCTTCAGGGCATGCTGGGCAACTATCAAAGACGACATCATGGCGGCGTTCAATCAGTTTTACAATTTAGTAGGCAGCAACTTTGGAGCCCTCAACACTACGGTCGTCGCACTACTGCCAAAGAAAGACGGAGCGACGACAATCAACGATTACAGGCCGATTAGCCTCATCCACTCCATAGCAAAGCTCATCTCCAAAGTACTCTCCCTCGGGCTTGCTAGTGTGATCCACACGCTCATCTCACCAGTGCAATCGGCTTTTCTTAGGACTAAGTGCATTCACGATAGTTTCCTATATGTTCAAAACTGCATCAAGGCCCTGCATCGACGGAGAACACCGGCTCTTCTTCTCAAATTGGACATAGCAAAGGCTTTCGATAATGTGTCATGGGAGTACATCCTTGAGCTTCTGCAACAAAGAGGCTTTAGTGCATGTTGGAGTGATTGGATAGCATTGTTGTTGTCCTCCTCCTCATCATCCTTCCTCCTCAATGGCGTCCCCGAAAAGAAGGTCCGGCACCGGCGCGGCCTATGGCAGGGCGACCCACTGTCACCTTTCCTCTTCATCCTGGCGATCGACACACTCCACCACCTTCTTCAGGCCGCAGCTGAGCAAAGCATCATCGCTCCGCTGCCAGGACAAGAGATAAAGGTTAGGATTAGCCTCTACGCTGACGACGCGGTTATCTTCACAAACCCGGTTAGGGAGGAGATTGATGCACTCATGGAGATTCTTCGCGATTTTGGCGCAGCCTCGGGGCTGCACATCAACCCCTCAAAGTCGATGGCCTTACCCATTAGATGTGAAAATATCGACCTAGGGCACATATTGCAAAATTTTGGAGGAACAGTGGGGCATTTCCCAACGACTTACCTGGGTTTGCCGCTGACGCTAGCCAGGCTGCGACTCGCGAACCTACAGTTCATCATAGATAGGATCAAAGCCCGTCTTGCGGGATGGAAAGGGAAGCTGCTGCCATTGGCTAGTCGACGTGTGATGGTTCGATGCGTCCTCAGTGCCATGCCTATGTTCACACTGACTGTCCTTCGAGTGCCGAAGAAGCTTCTAAAGGAGATTGACAAGTGCAGGCGCAGATTTTTATGGAAGCAAGATGAGGAGATCACAGGTGGTAGCTGCAAGGTCAACTGGACAGCAGTGTGCGCTCCCACTTCACACGGAGGGCTGGGCATCCTCGACCTCGAGCGGTTCAGCCGAGCCCTTAGATTGCGATGGCTCTGGACATCCTGGACCAGTCCGGAGCGAGCATGGGTTGGTACAGAACCACCGTGCAGCAACATCGACAAAAGCCTTTTCGGGGCTGTGACCACGGTCACCATCGGCGATGACGCAATGGCTCTCTTCTGGCACTCCTCCTGGATCGAGCCGCAAAACTTAGCCGCCTCATACCCCCTCCTCTATTCGCACTCCAGGAGAAAAAATAGGACGGTGCGCGAGGCGCTTACAGGCGAAACTTGGATAAAAGACCTACGACACGGGAATCTACAACCACTGCTGCCAGAGTTTATCAGGCTACACCGCATTATTTCCTTGACTGTGCTAACTGACGGGAGCAGGGACAAGATTAGATGGACTCTTGAGGCGAGCGGCCAATACTCGGCAAGGTCGGCTTATGCCGTGCAATTTCAGGGACGAGTTCATGTTGACTGGCAGAAGTTGATCTAGGAAGCAAAGGTGTCGGGGTGCATTAAGATTTTCAACTGGCTCCTCCTGTAGAACCGTCTATGGACGTGCGATAGACTGCAACGGCGCGGCTGGCCGAACAACTATTTTTACCCACTCTGCGTCCGCAACCTGGAGACAGCACACCACCTAGTTTGGACCTGCCCACTGGCCCGTGAGGTTTGGGAGAGGGTGGCTGCAAGACGAGGCTGCCAACAGTTTCACCCAGGGCAACAGTTTCAGGAAGATAGCATCATCACTGTTTTCCAGCAGATAGCGGCAAACACCCAGCCGGTGCTGCAGAGGGCCAGCAATGCCATCATGCTCCTAACATGCTGGGAGCTTTGGCAAGAGCGGAACCGGTGTGTGTTTAGGAGAAAAATACCTTCAGTGCAAGACATCACACAGGCCATTGAGCACTCCATTGAACTTTGGCGACAAGCGGGAGCAACGCACCTAGAGAGACCCTTTTGGGATCCACATGAGAAGTTAGATGAAGAGAGTTTTCCTTTTCCTTTTTCTCTTTCATCAGTTTTGTAACCGACTGGTCCTAGGACCCTCATCCTACCCTATGTATTTTCTCCATTGCTTTCTGCTTATCAATGAAACACCAGCAGTACACTGGGGTCTTTAAAAAAAACTGCTGAAAATTTTTTACAACAAGCATTTTTTTAATTTTTCTGCATACACGCCGAGTTCGATGGGTGTAGATGTACGTAGGTAATCAAACAAACAAATTACTACATGCTACTTCACATATTTTTTCCCTCTAAAAGAACATGTTTTTTTCACAGCAGATACTTAGCATGCTGATGTAATATAAAAAAATCATTTTTGCCGTCACTGTAATACTCCAGTTATCATGTTACTACCTTTGTTCACAAGCGTAAGATGTACCAACTTTTTTCTGAATCAGATGTATATACACATTTTAGTGTGTTTGTTCACTTATTTCAGTCTGTCATAATCTAATTAAAATATCCAAAACATCTTACATCTGCGAACGCATAATAGAAGTGATCATGGCAATGGCCCAGTCGTTAAGTGTGACAATTATTTTGAATGACATGGCAGTCATCATCCGTGGTGCCCAGATTGTTTCCAGGTTACAGGGGTAGCCCCATCTCACCTGGTTGACAAGACATGACTAAATATTAGCTATGCTAATTTGAATCAAATTCATACAATGTGTCCGGATGCTTTCTATCTACATTTTGTTTCAGCAGAACTTCCTGACCTTGTAAAAAAAGTGCGCACAAATCACATAACTACAAAATCAAAACATGATACTATCTTCCAAGTAAAGATAAGCCATGCTTAGGGAACATGTAAAACACATTGCCTGCTTTTCACTGAACTAGTGAAGGCGCATACAATACCGACTTCTAGCACACAAAAATTAACTAAAACATCCATCCAATGCAGAGTAAAATATATCTGTTTCTCAAAGAACGAAAATTACACAGACCACGTCCAAGATCAAATACTGCAACTTAAATTCGAATTTGAAACACGATGACTTTATACTGGCACGGTCGACCAAGTCACCTTCACAGAGAGGGCGGCATGCTGAAGCATTATTTGTTGACAGGCACATCCATGAATGTTTGCTTTGAAGTAGCAACTGCGTTCAAGATGATCATTTTTAGAGCCGTTCTGACCTACCTTGAACTTCAACTGCATCCAAGTATCCATCTTCACAGCAATCACGCATCTTCTTAAGCCACATGACTCAGCAGTAGTGCCACGAAAGAGAGGAATTTCCTGATCTGATCCGCCGACAAACACAAACGAACTGAGCGATAAATTGAATCCATTCTGCACTTTCAATACGAGAACATCTATTGTTGCTTCCACTGCATTGTAAACACGTGCTAAAGTGATGTCAACCGCACCACAATTGCCATGAATGCGATGTGTGAATGACACAGAAGGTATGGTTAGGTCACAATAATCTGTTGCGCCGTCGATCAATGTTAGATCATCTTCTTCTTTCTCTCCTGTCTTGATCCTCATGTCAAATTCAACTAGAACAGGGGAATTCATTGCAATGCCTCGCTTAGGGCCAGTCATCTCAATGAAAGAACCCTGCAAAACCATTATTATTTAGTAGCTCCTAGTAAAAGTAAGAATTACCTAAAGCGTATACTTGTCTTTCTAGCCAATTGAAAAAGGATCTCAAATACATGGCAGCATAGAATAATTTAAAGTCTTCCCTACAAACATAAATCTGGCTGAACATGAAACCTAACACTTGATAAATCGCGCAAGATAATTAACCATAAACTTGCCCAATATATGCAAGGATAACCCCATCTTTGTCTAACATCCTCGAAGGCACATGTACGCACATATAAAAGTCCTCAAAGTGGAATCACCATCACCAACGCCGCAGATCTTTGTTCTTTATTTATTATAAAGGGAAGTTGGTTAATTATTTATGAAAGAGTCGGTTAAGTCCGGGAGTGACAAAACAGAGATGTCGAAGAAAGAATATCAGGACCACCTGGGTCCAATGGAGGAACCGGAAGAACAGGAGGGAGGTCTGTCTGATTATGAATCTAGTGATCATTCTACTAATAGTAATTCCGACAAAAATGATGCAGAGGAAGAGTGTCAACAAGCAATTGTGCTTGATGGTACTAATGTGGAAAGATTAAGGAGGAGGTGGCTCCCAGGAATCTCTTTACTTATTGTTGGTTCACAGGGTGTGCTTGTCCAATCCACTGATGACATTACTGGAGATGATGCTGCTCCACGCAATGGTACTGAAGCTCAAAGGGGAGCTGCTCAAGCAACAAGAAATAGTGCCAGAATTGCTCAAATGGGAGTGGGTCGTGAGACTATGAGAGGGTTGAAGAAAGAGAGCTGCTAGGAGGGTGGCTGAACAGAATTTGGAAGGTAATACTATCTCCACTAAAAACTCCTTTTCTGTTTTATCTGATGATGATATCTGTTAAAGCTTTAGAAATAGGGATTGACTGTGATTTACTTCCTCTGGAAACATTTGATATTATGAGAGATCTAGAAATAGCTAGGTCAATAACTTGCATCATAAGAACTGTAATGATGAGGTGGAGAAAAATAGTCCAGTAAAATTCCTGGACTGGGAAAATAAAATGGATGATATTGTTGATGATTTTACCATGGTAGTCTCCAGATCTCTAGAAACACTTTGAAAAAGCAGAAGAAAATGGAAAAATTACAGAGCAGAAGGAAGAATAATCACATACTCCCTCCGTTCCTAAATATAAGTCTTTTTAGAGATTCTAATATAGACTATATATGGAGCAAAATGAGTGAATCTACACTAAAATACATCTATATTCATCCGTATGTAGTCCATATTAAATCTCTACAAGGACTTATATTTAGGAACAGAGGGAGTAAATTTGAATCAAGGTACTGTGCAAACCAGATGTATGTTGAGAAATAAGAAGACTGATGGGGGCAAAGTTGCTGAATCCCATCCTATGCAATTATGCATGGTGATCTTCCAGGAACTAGACCCAGGAGAAAAAAAATAGTAAGTATAAATGATAGGTCTGATATGGAATTGTAGAGGGTGTGGTAAGAAGGGTTTGGCTAATTACTTGCAGGAATTATTAAGCAATAATGAAGTGGATTCTATGGGGCTACAGGAAACAATGAAGAGAAATTATTCTGCAAGTTTCTTCAGGAAGATGATCATACTGATCAATTTTCTTGGCACTAGATTCCCTCTGTTGGAACCCTGTAGATTTAACATTACTGATACTTCTCAAGGGAGATTTCACATCAAAATTCAGTTTTTTGATGTGAAGCTGCAGATAACATTGGGCCGTGATCATTGTCTATGAAGCTGCTCAAGAGGAGAACAAGAGAGATTTTCTAATTGATCTTGTTGGTGGTGATTTCAGCTTGATTAGGTCTGCTAGGAAAACGATGGTGTTTTCCACAGTAACAGTCATACTTCTACTTTTAACTCCATCAATGCTTATGAACTTAGGAGATTGATGTAACACTCCAGTAGATATCCTCTGTTTGATGGTAAAGATGGATACAAGCTTCCCCAGTCACGTTGAGATGTCGAGAGGTTCAGACCTGATGGTCTTGAGGAAGAAGGTTCAGAGAGAGGGAAAAATCAGCCTTCGTTGTTACACTTTGTTGCCTCTCATGGGTACCGATCCATCAATTTTACAGTGTACTGCTCCTTCAGTCGTGAGCTCAGCTTGTTGGGTTGGGCTTCTCTCTGGCGGCCCCACGAGCTCGTGCTTGCGCTCCCGCCTTTCCTTGCGAATTGCCTCACGTGCCAGGAAGGTCGTGACAATCCTCCCTCCTTGAGACGCAACGTGCCCCCACGCTAGTGCCACCGGGTGAAGACGATGGATGGAATCGAGCTCCTCCCAGGTGGTATATAACGTTGGCAGTTTCTGTCAGGAGACCTTGACTTGTGACTGACAGTTTCTTGTTACGCCGAATCTGCCGCTCATCCAGCACAATCAACAGCCTCCCAGGTAGTATATGGCGTTGGTAGTTTCTGCCAGGAAATCTTGACTTGTGCCGACAGTTTCTTGATGTGCCGAATATGTCGCTCATCCAGCACAATCAATGGCTGCAACTCAGCAATGGCATCAGGTGATAGAGGGGGGAGGTCAGTTTGCGCTTACTCACTTAGACACAGTGCCTTCTTAAGTTGTGACACATGGATCACTGGATGGATGTGGTTGGATGGAGACAGTTGCAATTTGTAAGCTACAGCACTTACTTTCTGCATCACTTGATATGGTTCGAAGTGTTAGAGTTATATTTATGGTGGCATTTGGCCTTTTGTATTCTGGCCTTTGGCGTCCCCTGTACATGTATATATGATGGCTTTTGCCTCATGATAATACTAAGTTGCTTTTTCTAACATGGTATCAGAGCCTTAGGCAACTCGTGCTCTTCCGATCCAATTTCTCGCGTCGGCCGTCGCAGCTCCTGTCTCTGGCCGATTGCTGAGGCTACTCTGCTATACGCTGTGTTCTGGTATCTACTCTCCTCTTTGTGTGTTCGTCCGCGCGAGCAGCACGCCATCGGTCCAACTCCACTTGGCCCATCCGCGTCCGCCGGCCTCCAGCTACGGGTTCCCGCTGCTGTCCTCATCATTCGTCTGCCGGTTCCCGCTGCTGTCTTCGTCCGCCGGCCGCCGGTTCCCGCTGCTGGCCGCGTACGCTGGCCGCCGACCACCGCCGGTTCCTGCTTGTGTCCTTGTCCGCTGGCCGCCGGTTGTCCTCGTCCTCCGGCCGCCGGTTCCCGCTGCCGTCTTCGTTCGCCGGCCACTGATTCCCGCCGGCTCCCATGCTAGATCAGCCGCCGGCCACTGGATCTATCTCAGGCCCGCGTACGCTGAGTGTGGGGATGTGAATCGATCCAACTGCCTGGCTGTGTGCGTAGCTGCACGGCCCGTCAATCACGTTTCTTTTGGGCTGCTGGTGGGCAGCCAGTTGGCCTGCTTCATCCGGCTGCCTAGTTTGAGTTGGCCTGCTTCATTCGGCAACCTGAGTTCTGTTGGTAAAAAAAAGGAGTAAAAAAAGGCACAATGTTTCTGTCGGTTATGTCTCTCCCTTGCCGTCCGGTGTTTTCCGACGGTATTCCGTACATTGATCCGGTCTCGCACATGCGCCTTCCCTCGGTGCTTGGTGCTCGCCCGTTTGGAGGTGATGTTTGTCGCACTACTTCGACACCTTTTGCGACATCCACCGGTGTTGTTGGCCGCTCTACATCGACTCCTTCGGCAGCTGCACCGCCTCCTCTAGCCACTTTTGTGCATGGCGCTAGTCGTTCTACATCGACTCTCTTGGTGTCTTCTGCCGGTGATGTTGGTCGTTCTTCAGCGACTCTTCTCACAACTTCCGCCCCGGGTGATTGTCACCCTACGCCGACTCCCTTTACGGGTTCTGCTCGCGGTGGTGACCGCTATATGTCGACTCGTTCTATGTCGACTCACCACACAGCCTCCAAGGGTGATGGCGATTGCTCATCGCCGGCAAGCGTTTCTACCTCAACCTCTTCTGACGTGTCATTGTCTGTGCGTGAGATTGCACAGCTGCGATGCCTGCTTGATGCTTGGGATTCTTCACCGTGTCATTGTCTGTGCGTGAGATTGCACAGCTGCGATGCCTGCTTGATGCTTGGGATTCTTCACCGACAGTTTCTGCTGGTTCTGTGGCTGACTCTTCTGGCAATGAGAAACCACCTTCTACCCATTAAGCTACATCCCCATGGATTCTTGATACTGGAGCGTCTTTTCATATGACTTATAATTCTTCCACTTTGACCTCCGTTCGACCTGTCGAGTCCCATGTTCGTGTTCTTACGGCCGATGGCACTCCCCTCGATGTAGCTAGTTGAGGCACTCTTAGCACTTCTTCATTTCATGTTTCCTCTGTAGCTCATGTTCCTCGACTTACCATGCAGCTCATATCTGGTGGTCAGATTGTTGACTCTAGTTGTAGAGTCATTCTTGACTTTGATTCGTGTTCTGTTCAGGATCGTCACACGGGCGTTCTACTTGGTGTTGGCCCTCGACGCTCTGAGGGTCTCTGGGAGCTTGACTGGCTTCGTCTTCCCTCTGCTACCACCGCCACCAGTCTCACAGCCCATGTTGCTTCATCTACCAGCTCTTTTCAGCAATGGCATTATCGTCTTGGCCATTTATGTGGTTCTCGTCTCTTGTCTTTGGTTCATCGCGGTGTTCTGGGGTCTGTCTCCGGTAATGCTTCGTTGGATTGTCTAGGTTGTAGGCTTGGCAAGCAGATTCAGCTACCCTATCCTCATAGTGAGTCAGTGTCCGAGCGCCCTTTTGATCTCGTTCACTCTGACGTTTGGGGTCCGGCTCCCTTCGCTTCGAAAGGAGGCCACCGATATTATATTATTTTTATAGACAATTTTTCTCGGTACACATGGATCTATTTCATGTCTTCTCGTAGTGAGGTCTTATCTATATACAAAAAATTTGCTGCCATGGTTCATACCCAGTTTTCGACTCCTATTCGTGTTTTTCATGCAGATTCAGCTGGTGAGTATATCTCCCATGCGCTGCGAAGATTCCTTGCTGAGCAGGGTACTCTAGCTCAGTTCTCTTGTCCTGGTGCTCATGCTCAAAATGGTGTGGCTGAGCGCAAGAATCGTCACCTTCTTGAGACGGCGCGTGCGATGATGATTGCCGCCTCTCTTCCGCCTCACTTCTAGGCTGAGGCTGTTACCACTTTCACCTATCTCATCAACATTCAGCCATCTGCTGCTCTACAAGGTGGTATTCCTCTTGAGCGTCTTTCTGGCCGTTCTCCCGATTATTCGGCACCTCGTTTGTTTGGTTGTGTTTTCTATGTTTTGCTTGCCCCTCATGAACGCACCAAACTAACCGCTCAGTCTATTGAGTGTGTCTTTCTTGGATATAGTGATGAGCATAAGGGCTATCGGTGTTGGGATCCTGTCAGTCGTCGAATGCGTATTTCCCGGGATGTCACGTTTGATGAGTCTCATCCCTTCTACCCACGTCCATCGTCCTCGGCCTTTTCCATGGAGGACATCTCTTTTCTTACGTTTCCGGATACACCTCCCTTCGTGCCTAGTATTCCTACTCCTCGTCCCGCTGTTGCGGATCCGACGTCGTCCTCTCCTATGGTTTCTTCTCCTTCCTCATCACATGACTCTCCACCTTCGACACCGATACCTTCCTCTTCTCCACCTTCATCACCGATACCTTCCGCTTCTCCACCTGCATCACCGCTACATTCCCCGTCTCCACCTCCAGTGATTCCACCTCTCCCCTCCTTTCCTTTCCATTATACTCGTCATCGACGTGTTGTGAACGAGTCTACTGTTGTGCCCTCTACTTCTGATGTGTCATCT